ATTCAACATTTCCAAGATGCAGCACTCCTGCGACTATGCGCCATATATCATGGATCTGGAAACACGACTTTATGAATGATTCCTTATCGCAACAGTACGACGGCGCAGTTCGGCGACGGGGAGGGGGCATTTTGCACTTTCGTTGCTTCACTAGTTCCGGTTTACAAGTCTCACTCTGGTGAAACCTGTGAACTCTTGTGAAGCTGGAGCAAGCTCGTCAAGCCATCATGGTAAAACCTGTCAACTCGAGAAGAGGCTGTCTAGATGGGTCGACACGTCGATGGGAAGCAAAATGCCCCCCCCCCCGTCGCCAAACAGCGCCCAATACGACTATACCTCCTCCTTGGTGAGTCCGGCTCTTCCAAGAGCATCAACTAGATGAGAGAAGTCGGCTGCATCGTCAACGATGGCATCGGTCAACAGTCCGGATTTCCGCGCCTACAAGAATATTTTGTTTTCACTTTCTGAAGCGTAGTTTTCAATACACTCGCTCTTTTCCTGGTGGAAAAAAACACGAGCATATGCATGTTGTGAAAGCCTCATTGCGGTTGTGAAAGCTGATAATTGTATGAGCTTTCACAACTGCAGACAATGCGAAGGTTAATGATACATTCCGCGACATGTTGATGGGCGGAGACAATCAGTGTGTTTTGGCGCGCCCTTCTTCAAGTGAGGTAAACTTTCACCCATTTTCCCCCGCCCCTCTGATTATCGTGGAATATACATTTCAATCAAAATTAGTTTAGCATTTTAGGAAAGCAGACTAGCGCAATTGAAGGCTTTCATACCTGTTCGCTAAGGCGCTCGGGGCTGACTTTTGACTTGGAGCCAGGCCGAACGAAAAAGCTTGTCGTACCATGCTTCAGGTACTGAAATAAAAGAGATAGAAGCATTATCATTGAAGAACCGGGAAGAAAATAACAAGTAACCTTGAATTTGTCTGAAGCAGCGAGTCGAATCATCTGGAGCTCCAGCGATCAACTGATAGAAAATGTGATAGTTTCGTTCACCGTCAGCCTGCCGACACACTCTTGATTTCTCAAGGAGATAATGTGACACAAAACCGCCGGCGACTTTATCCTTAATCAGCACTCTTTAATTATGCCATTTTGACCAAATCTAGACCCTCCAAAGATGGATACTGGTCGGGAGATTCGAGTTGCGACGTCGCGCAGAATCTAGATCACCGCGAGGGAGCCGGTCTGCCGCCAGGGTACAGCGTCGTTGTGTAAATTACACAGGGGAGTCGTACTTTTCCGCTGGGGAGGGGGAGTCGTATTTAGTTGTTGAGGGGTCGCATGTGCGTCCGAGACAAATTCGCTGCGTTGGGAAAAAATCTTTCCGGTTGCTGAATTTTCGCGTGATTTTGCCTCTTTCATGTGCTATATACCTCCCCTTCTCACCCTTCCGCTCGACGGATCGATGGAAAATCCTCGGGTGAAAAATTGGAAAATGTGGGAAATCTGTAGGTGGGTGTTGGGGAAGGGGAGGGGGGTCGTACCGAGACCATAGGGAGGTTGTACTGACATCCTCTCTCGCAGGGGGGGGGGGTCGTCCCTACACTACCATTTCACACATCACGATGCTGTACCCTGTCTGCCGCCCCGGTGCAGTTCAGCTCTCCCGACCGTGTCCTCGAGAATGACGTACATCCGAGTCAAAATGAATTTCAACGAATTTTCCGAATCGACTTGAGTTGTTGTTTCGGAGCGTTTTCGCATTGCCGAATGCTTCCAAAATCGGGTTTGCTGAAAAAAAGTATCACAGATTTTTATCATTTTTTCTCCAGCTGATAAGCAAATGTAGTATAACATCCAGAGCCCAAAGGTATACCGACATAAGCTTCATTTAGGGAGCTACAATGCAAAGTTACTCTTTTCAAGAGCTTGAGAACCTTTGATCCCTCAAAATAAAGGGCGTGGTTTTGTTGTGAACCCTGCATAAGTTGATTCAACGACAATCAGGGCGCAGTTCGGCGACGGGGGGGGGGGCATTTTGCACTTTTGCTACTTCCCATCGACGTGTCGACCCATCTAGACAGCCTCTTCTTGAGTTGACAGGTTTACCATGATGGCTCGACAGCTTGCTCCAGCTTCACAGGTTTCATCAAAGTGAGTTTCGTAAACCTGAACCAGTGAAGCAGCGAAAGTGCAAAATGCCCCTCCGTCGCCGAACTTCGCCGACAAACTGCACACTCACCTCCGACGACAGTCGTTTTCGTGTACGCAATAATGGGTCCACAGGTGCAATAGCGTGCCACGTTCTCAAAGCTCGGGAAAAGGTCTTACGAGTGGTGGTCCGTTGTCGCCTCCACACTCCGCCCGCGCTATCCTCAAGCTGCAGTTGTTGCGTCGATACCAAGAGCCCGTAGCAGGACGCGCTCAGTCGTAAAGAACAACTAGAAGTGAGAGGGCTCAGACAAGTAGCGTGTTTGGCTATGGTTAAGCGTGTGGATGGGCGTGCGGCAGCGCGGGCGGAGCATGGGGTCGGTGCCAGGATATCATCAGACTCCAACACCGTTCCTGTGCATTTTTGAGAGGGGAAAATAGAACGCTAGCGCAGATACGGACACATTCATCTCGCATGTGGCAGGAACCATGACTCAAGGAGGTGAAAGTACAGTCCGCCTCCAAGGAAAGGTACCAGTGCAGGATGGGCCGTTTACATGTGATAATCGTCAGTGACATGCATTATTCTCAGTTTCCCGTTGCCATGACAGACCAGTGTAAAACTTCTTGCTCTTGTTACCAGCTGAGCCTTTGCTGATGAGGACAGCTGTGTTATAGGCGATTAAATTTGAACTAACTTTCAAGTATACGTTTCTGGTATTGGACCGGCAGCCGCTCCCCAATTTTCACACAGGTACCTGAAAACAAATAAGTATTAATTACGACTTTCCAAAAACCAAAAGGTCAATATCATCCTGAAACATTCAAATGGCTTCAACGCCCGGGTAAGATGTTCAAAAATGGGCGGAGATTTCATCTTTTCACAGTGCCATAATCTGCCTTGATCCTGCTTCGCATAACCGTGACAAAGCATGATCGGAAACGAGCAAGACACAACAAAGCATGAGAACTCCGCCCATTTTTGATCATTTTATTCCTTCGATGAAGCGACTCCGATGTTCTGAATACCATACCTCAGTATAGCTTTCTGTGATTCCGTTTTACCAGCGCCAGATTCTCCAGAAACGATAATCGACTGTGATTCCTTGTTACGCCTCATCTCTCGATAAGCCTTGTCAGCTTAATGACAGAAATATTTACTTATTTATTTTTCTTTCCCATTTATCACTAAACTCTTCTAGGCGCTAAGGCAATAAAGAAGCAGCTCCACGCTCATTTCTTGGTCACTGGTGCTCTCTCAGCGAGACAGCTCTCTATGATTCTCACTTGGGGCACAGCAAGGGAATGGGACAAATAATAAACGACGACGCCAGACGACCGCCCCTCCCCTCCCAAATTTTGAGGCCCAGTACAACCCCTTCTCCTCCTCCCAGCATCGCTCATCATACCTACCATTCCTCGAAAAACTGCTCTCGACCGGGGGCGGACGTAAGGGGGAGGGGGGGTCAAGTATCAACAATTACAGTTGTATAGTATTCTGACGCTACCGGCGACTAGTGGGAGGGTAGAAACGAGAAAAATTGCGAAAAATCACGACTGAAAAAGTTCCTTTGGGGCGCGGAAAAATTTCGTCAGTTGTCAAGAAAAGATACGACCCTATCGACCAGGAACATCCCCCTCTCCAATGGACAAGTTGCTCCCGTGATGGGGTTCACCAGCGATGCTATACTCTTTGTAGCTGACGCTGAGCACACAAATGAGTGGAAATTAGGTCTGGTCTCGTCTGACTATTCGCCTCCCCCTCCGAACACACTAGCGCCTTCAATTCTTCTTCTTGACGCAGTTCGGCTTGGTGGGGCCATTTCGCCGGTTCCCGAATATCATCGCCAACGCCCCTATAGTGAGCGCAAACTCTTGTAAGGCTCATTAATAGTAGGAGCTTGGTTTACTCCTGACAGCAGTTCACAAATGATGAAGACTCCTGTCAAGTAGTAAAAAACTACCGAACTAGAAAAATGCCCCTCCCAAGCAAAACAGCGCCTTTTTACAGTGTTTGAAATAAAATTTTCATCAAAATTAAAAAGATTCGTGTGGGCTCTCCATTACTCTCTTTAGTCCTTTTTACTCCTTCATTCTAAGGTGTTAAGAAGGAGAGACGCTTCAGTGAGCGGCGATAGGTGGCTGTCTTTGCCCGCACGATTGGAAACTATCTAAATCTTCAAGAACGGAAACTTACCAACTGCGTAGACGTGGGGTGGCAATTGTCCTAGCGATTTTCCTCGATATTTCTTTATAGTATCAATTGAATAAAGACCATCGATTTCTTCGTATGGGTTAATAGAGATGAGTATATTGGCAACATATGTCTGAAAGGAACATCGCACATGAGAACACCGTAATCCCTCCAGTTCGCTGCAGGACTCACTGATGGGAGAAGGACAAGACAATCGTAATTTGCCGCGCCGTCGCGCGCGGCACCTTCGTTCGATGGCGCGGCGAGTTGGAGCAGCGGAACACTTGGGGGGGGGGCGGAGG